GTGTGTGTGTGTGTGAGAGTGTGTGAGTGTGTGTGTGTGTGTGTGTGAGTGTGAGAGAGAGAGCGTGAGTGTGAGAGAGAGAGAGTGTGTGTGTGTGTGTGTGTGTGTGTGTGTGTGAGAGTGTGTGAGTGTGTGTGTGTGTGTGTGTGTGTGAGTGTGAGTGTATGTGTGAGAATGTGTGCGCGCACCCCAGGACATGGGGAGAAACTGTGATGTTGTGAAACGGTTGTACCTGGATGTCGAGATCCTGAGGAGACCCCTGATGGTTTGCTGTCATTGAGCTGTACACTGCCTGACACCAACAATCTTTGAACGTTTCACACTCCTCATCTGATAGCAGTCAGATGTTGCTTGTAGTTTTTTGCAGCATGATTTTAATATAATCTCCTGTATTTGTGGGACCTGTCTATGCACTTGCAAGTAATGGAACAGGCAGTAATCTGCCCATGCTATTTGCTGTCTCGGCCTGTTTTTTAGTGTTGAGTTGGGAGGAAGATGAATATCTCTTTCACTCCCTGCCATCTCTCTCTAACACTCTCTCTCTCTCTACATCTCCCTGTCTCTCACTCTAACCCTGTCTCTTTCCACTGCTGTCTCACTGTCTATCTCTCCCTCTTCTTCTCTCCCTCTGCCCTTCTCTCTCCCCCTCCGTCTCTCTCTCCTTCTCTCTCTACCCCCCTGTCCCTGCTATCTCTCTCTAACCTTTTCTCTCTCTACATCTCCCCATCTCTCATTCTAACCCCCTCTCTTGCCCCTCTCTGTCTCACTCTCTACCTCTCTCTCCCTCTCCATCTCTCTCTCCTTCCCTTTCTATCTCCCTCCCTCTCCCTGCTATCTCTCTCTACCCTTCTCTCTTACCCCTCTGTCTTTCTCTCTCTCCCTGCTCTCTCTCTCTGCTCCCTCTCTCTCCCCCTCTGCCTCTCAGTGTCTCCCTGCTCTCTCTACCCCCTCTCTCCCACCCTCTGTCTGTCTCTCTCTCTCGCTCTCGCTGTTGACTTTGTAACTGCATGCAGACTGAAGTTAATCAGCCGAGATGCTTAACATTATAATAATTATTATGTACTCTTTTGTATTTTTGCATGAAATATGAAATAAACAAAAAAAATGAGCACGAGAGCAGCCAGTCTTTGCTGTACTTTCCAAAATACGTCCTCCCACTTTTGACTGTCTCTACATCAAGCAGTTTGCTGCAGGCTGGAATGTTGCTGAGTTTCTGCAGCGCATCTTGTAGATGGTACACACTGCTGCTACTGAGCGTTGGTGGTGGGAGGAGTGGATGCTTGTAGATGTGGTGCCAATCGAGCAGGGGCTGCTTTGTCCTGGATGGTGTTAAGTGTTATAACACAGAGAGAAACAGCCAAACCGAACCAGCCCTTTCTACCTCTGCATTCGCAACACAACAACATTAAAACCTTCAAAGACTCTCAAGATTGACCCCGATAGTTCCGAAGCAAACTTTCCGAATAACCATTCTCGCTCTGCAAAAAATTATTTCCAGGCACCAGTTTGTTGGAGGTGATTATAAAAGATAGGATTTATGGACATGTAGAGAGGCGCAAATTGATTGGGGATAGTCAGCATGTTTTGTGTGCGGGAAATCATGTCTCACAAACTTGATCGAGTTTTTTGAGGAAGTCACCAAAAAAGTTGATGACGGCAGAGCAGTAGATGTTGTTTATTTGGATTTTAGTAAAGCCTTTGACAAGGTTCTGCATAGTAGGCTAATTTGTAAAGTTAGGTCACATGGGATTCAGGGTGATCTTGCCAACTGGATACATAATTGACAATGGCAGGAGACAGAGGGTGGTGGTGGAGGGTTGCTTTAGGGACTGGAGACCTGTGACCAGCAGTGTGCCACAAGGATAGGCTCTGGGCCCTCGTTTGTTTGCCGTTGATATAAATGATGTAGATATGAAAGTAGAGGGCATGGTTAGTAAATTTGCGGATGACACCAAAATTAGTGGCATAGGCGACAGTGAAGAAGGTTATCTAAGATTTCAAAGGGATCTTGATCAAATGGGTCATGGGCTGAAAATGGCAGATGGAGTTCAATCTGGATAAATGCGAGGTATTGTATTTTTGTAAAAACAAACAAGGGTAGGGCTTATACAATTAACGGTAGGGCCCTGGGTAGTGTTGTAGAACAGAGGGACTTAGGGGTTCAGGAACATAATCCCTTGAAGTTTGTGTCACAGGTAGACAGGGGGGTGAAGAAGATGTTTAGCACACTCACCTTCATCGCTCAGAGCTTTGTGTGTAGGAGTCGGGGACGTCATGTTGAGGTTGTACAGAACGTTGGTGAGGCCTCTTCTGGAGCACCAGTTATAGGCACCAGCTATAGTTCTGGTCGCCCAGTTATGGCAAGGTAAGTATCAAGCTGGTGAGGGTTCAGAAGAGATTTACCAGGATGTTGCCAGGTAGGGAGTGTTTGAGTTATAAGGAGAGGCTGGAATAGGCTGGGACTTTTTTTACTGGGGTGTATGAGGTTGAGAGGTGACCTGATAGAGGTTTATAACGTAATGATGGGTATAGATAGGGTTAATGGTAGGTGTCTTTTCTCCTAGGGTGGGAGGATTTCAATACTAGGGGGCACATTGTTAAGGTGAGAGGAGAGAGATTTAAGAAATGAGGGCAATTTCTTTTACAGAGGGTTGTGGAATGAATATGTGGAATGAACTTCCTGAAGAAGTGGTGGATGTGGGCACAGTTACAACATTTAAAAGACATTTGCATAAGTACATGAATAGGAAAGGTTTGGAGGGATAAGGGCCAGGAGGAGGAAGGTGGGATTAGATTAGTTTGGGATTAAGTTCGGCACGGACTAGATGGGCCAAAGGGTCTGTTTCCGTTCTATACGACTCTGTGTCGATTACTGTCTGTACAGTTCACTCAGATAAAGGCGGTAATATTTATAACTTAGATATCGATCTCTGAGCTTCCAAGAGCTGGTAACAGAAGGTTACAGCATCTTCCTGCTGTAGCATCAACAGCCAAGTTCCTTCGCACAGAAAACACCATACAAAAACCATTTCAAACACTGACAGACTGACCATTTCCTCCACAAGGTCCCAGATCCCAATCTGCACTTGATTGAGCTTGAGGTCTCTTCCAGACTTGCTGGAACCAATTCCATGGTCCTCATTAATCGCCAGCTTCTGCTCTCCATTTAAACCTAATGCGCTTCCCCAGTGACAGAGCGTCTGCAGAACCTTTTGATCAGGAACCAACCTGCAATTAACTTCCAGGCCTGACTTCATGAAGGAACACAAGCTTGTTTGGTCCGTTGTCCTCTTAGCTCAAGCCACTGCCACAGTCCAAAAGTCATCTTTAGCTCACAGCTCCAAACCAAAACCGACAAAAGAATAAGATAAAAAGAATTACGAACAAGTGAGGTTTCAAACACAAACTTCTGCAGTATTGTCGGAGCTGCACCCATCCAGGCAACTGGGGAGTATTCCCTCACACTCCTGACTTGTGCCTTGACGATCGTAGAAGTGTTGTGGTACAGAAGGCTATTTGGCCAACTGTGCCTGCATCAATAGCTAGAACAAATCTCCTGCTTGCCACCCCATATCCCTCCACACCATTTCTATTCAAACAACCACACAAGTCCTCACGAGAGCCTCAATTGAGCCTGCCTGCACCACATCTCCAGGCAGTGCATCCCAGACCCTAACTACTTGCTGAGTGAACATGTTCTTCCTCATATCACTTATACTTCAATCTACGACGGGCAGCCTGGTGATAATCCTGGAGCTGAGGTGACTGTCCTCCAGCTGTTGTTCTCCTCTGTGCCAGATCTGACTCCAACCAATAGAGAAAGATCTGCTGGTCTCGGATCAAGCTCCCAGATGTCAGTCATGAGGGCAGAGCTGGGGGCCTGGCTGAATTTGGGAGGACCAGCTGGCACTGCCCCGGGTCCTGTTAAAACCAAATCTGAATTTCAAAATGGAGCGAGTCCCTGTGCCCATTACAGAATCACCCACATTGTTCTGGAGTCACATGTAGGTCAGTTTGGGTAAAGAGGGCAGGTTTCCTGTCCTAAGGGATGGTGGGTCATCCGATTGGGGGTGTGGGGGGAGCGGGGGTGGGAGATAGAGAGTGGGGAGAGGGGAAGAGAGAGAGAGAGAGACCCAGGGAGAGAGAGGGACAAGGAGAGAGAAAGAGAGGGACTTAGAGAGAGAGAGAGGGAGAGAGAGGGGAGGGGAGAGAGAGACCCAGAGGGAGAGGGCAGGACAGGGAGCCAGAGACAACCAGATGAAAGAGAGGGCCAGAAAGAGAGAGGGCGACAGAAGGGAGGGGAGAGAGAGAGAGAGGACTGAGAGAGATGGAGAGAGAGGGGAGAGAGAGAGACCCAGAGAGAGGACCAGGACAGAGACAGGGACAAGGAGAAGAAAGAGAGGGACAGAGAGAGGGAGGGAGAGACAGAGAGAAAGAGGGAGAGGGAGAGAGAAGAAACATGGGGGCAGAGATTGGTGACACATGAAAGAAAGTTCTCCTGAAGGAAGTGGTTGAGACTTCCTGGGCTGTTGAGGGGGGAAGAGGCAGGGTCAGTGGAATGGCCCTGGTTCCTTCAGAAGGTCAGCATTGGACAGTGTCCTGAATAGCCCGCTCCACGGTGGAATGGTTCTGATCCCGCAAGAAGTGATGCCTCTGGAAGGTGGAGTGAAATGACTCTCACAACTAACACACAGGTCGGAGGAGTGTTTTATTTATTTAAAAAAAAAGCCCCCAGCGTCTTCACAAACACAGAATGCAATGATGTGAGGGACCTTATCGACACCTTCCCATCCCCCTTGCGATGACTCTGCACGCAGTACAACCCAGCCCTGCCGACCCTCTCCTCACAAACACAGAAAAACAGAACAGTAAATGAGATGGTGTTATGGAGCTCAGACTCGACAAATCTCCCCACCTCCCTTTCAAACCCCAAGGATAAGCAGTCAGGATGCTGACAACCTGAAGGGAGGAGCGAGACTCCGAAAGCTTCTGGTTTCAAATAAACCTGTTGGACTAGAACCTGGTGCCGTGTGATTCTGACCTTGAGGACTGTACACTGGCAGTGACCGTTGGGAAAGGCCCAGTCCATCAGAACAACAGCAGCTTCCCAACCCCATTGCACAGCAACAGATCAGTATGATATCCTAGAGACACAGCTCCCTGTGGAACACCAACTCTCCCCGGGGTATGGGAGTGACTCCCTGCTGCGACACGACGATGCCAGGTGGGTTTTGGGGGATGGGTTGGTGCTATCTCCTGGGAGAGACAAGCTGCTGGAGGCTCCCTGCTACACTCAGTGTCACATCAGTGCTCTGCTCCACTGACAAGGCAAAAGTTACAAAGTGACCGATACAGACAGTGGAGGGTGGAATTAAAAACCCAGATTCACAGGCTTGTCGAGTCTGAGGCTGTGATGTAAATTCAGAAACATCTCCCCATGCCCCAGCTGTAGGGTTCTCCATCAGGAGAGCCAGCCCCAGTCCAAAGGGCTCTCTGTCTACGGACCTGGTGAAAGCAGCAAGATCCCAAATAATTGCAGGGCCTCCCTGTGTTTATATTTGGTGGGTGGGGACGAGGAGGATGTGGAGGGAGAGAGAGAGAGAGAGAGATCAGATGTCTTATTTTCCTCCCAGCTCTCTCTCTCTGCCTCGCTCTCGTCTCTAACTCTACCTTCCCCTATTCAGTCTCCATCAACCCCTGCACTCTCTCCAACTCTGTTTCTCTCCGTCTCTGTTTCTCTCTCTCACTGTCTCTCTTTGTCTGACTCTATCACTCTGTCTTTCTCTATCTGTATGTCTCTCGCTCTGTTTCTCTTTCTCTGTCTGTCTCTCGCTGTATCTGCAACTCCCCATCTGCCCTCTTCCTCTCTTTGTCCTCTGACTCTCTCCCTTTCTCTGCCTGTTCTCTCTCTCTCCCTCCTCAGTCTTGATCAGACCAGCTTCCACTTGCGCTCTCTCCGTCCCCGTCCCTCAGACTCTGCCTCCCTCTCCTCTCTCCCCTCCGGTCGTCCTGCTGATTTGGAGGTTGTTGATGAGGTTCGGTGTAACAGGGCCAAGTTCCAGGACAAGACACATTCTCCGCCTCAGCTGGTCTGGGAGAAATGGAACTGAGTTCTTCAGCCAATGGACAGGCTTCACCAGAACCTGTGGGAACCAATAGGTTAGAGTTGTTAGAATGTCTCAGTGCACCACCTCCCCGATGTGGTGAGACCCCCCCACTACCGGATATATATACCCTAAATGTCACAGTGGCTTTTCAAAATTCATTCACAGGACGTGGGCGTTGCTGGCTGGGCCCAGCATTTATTGTCCGCGGAGAAGGTTGGGGTGAGCTGCCTGCTTGAACCACTGCAGTCCCTCCTGTGTGGTGTAGGGACACCCCGCACAGTGTCCTCAGGGAGGGAATTCCAGGATGGTGCCCCAGCCACACTGAGGGAACGGCTGATATATTTCCGAGTCCGGATGGAGAGGGGCTCGGAAGGGAACTTGCAGGGGGCTGCGTGTTCCCATGTATCTGCTGCCCCTTCTCCTTCTGGATGGAAGTGGGTTCTGGGGTTTGGAAGGTGCTGCCTGAGGATCTTTGGTGAATTTCTGCAGGGCATCTTGTAGATGGTACACACTGCTGCTACTGAGCGTTGGGGGTGGGGGGAGTGGATGTTTATGGATGTGGTGCCAATCGAGGGGGTTGCGGGGGGGTGCTGCTTTGTCCCTGGGATGATGTCGAGCTTCTCAAGTGTTGTCGGAGCTGCCCCCACCCAGGAGCAAGTGGAGTGTTCCCTCACACTCCTGCCTTGTCGATGGTGGGACTGGCTTTTTTTTGGGGGGGGGGGGGGGGGAGGTCAGGAGGGGAGTTACTCGCTGTAGGATTCCCAGCCTCTGACCTGCTCTTGTAGCCACAGGATTGATATGGGGCTGGGTCTGGGTCAGTTTCTGATCAATGGTAACCCCCAGGATGTTGATAGTGGGGTGGGGGAATTCAATGATGGTATCATCTTGTGACACAGTGGCAGTGTTCAAGTCCCACCCATGTGTGCAATAACATTTTTGACCAGGCTGATTAGATAAACAGGTTAAATAATAAGAAGTACCATTGAATGTCAAGGGGCAGTGGTTAGATTGTCTCTTATTGGTGACGGTCATTGCCTGGCATTTGTATGGCGTGAATGTTACTTGCCACTTGTTGGGCTAAGCCTGGATATTGTCCCGATCTTGTTACATTTGGATATGAACTGCTTCAGTATCTGAGGAGTCACAAATGGTGCCGAACATTGTGCAATCATTAGCGAACATCCCCACTTCTGACCTAATGATGGAGGGAAGGTGGTTGGGCCTAGGACACTACCCTGAGGAACTCCTGTGGAGATGTCCTGGAGCTGAGATGACTGACCTCCAACAACCTCAACCATCTTCCTATGTGTCAGGTATGACTCCAACCACCGGAGAGTCTGCCCCCTGATACCCACTGACTCCAGTTTTGCTAGGGCTCTGTGATGCCACACTCGGTCGAATGTAGCCTTGATATCAAGGGCTGTCACTCTCACCTCACCTCTGGGATTCAGCTCTTTTATCCATATTTGAACCAAGGCTGTAATGAGGTCAGGAGCTGAGTGGCCCTGGCGGAACCCAAACTGGGCGTCACTGAGCAGGTTATTGCTGAGCAGGTGCTGCTTGATAGCACTGTTACTGACACCTTCCATCACTTTACTGACGATTGAAAGTAGACCGATGGGGCGGGAATTAGCCGGGTTGGATTTGTCCTGTTTTTAATGTACAGGGCATACCTGGGCAATTTTCCACATTGTCGGGTAGACACCAGTGTTGTA